ATAATTGAAGAATAAATAGAATTAGGATGAAAAGAATTAATTGTCATTAATTAAAAAGTTAGAACTTACAAAGAATCCATTGATCTTGAAAAACAAGGCTTTAAAAAACCTCTAAAGTCGAAATAGGGTTTATCTCTCTAAGCTTTGGTACGAAAAACGAACAAAACAGGGCCTTTAAATAGAAATTGTCGAAATTTGGCCGAACTGCAGACTGTACGGTGTGCAGGTCACCGTGCGGTTGCGTGAAAATTAATCAGCTCCGTCATTTACTCCGCGCGCACGGCGTGCGGGCACTTTTGTGAGGTGTTCTGGATTGCGGGGTGTGCAGTTCATAATTCTTGACTTCTAGCTCTTAGAATCACTTGCGGGGCGCGCGGATGGCTCTTGAACCATTATCTTTCCCTTTTCGATCTTCCTTGTTTGCTCCCGCTTGATCCTATCTTCAATCTTTGACCATCCAAGCCTCGAATGATGCCTCTAAATCATCTTGTTGACCTCCGATGCCTCTCGCTATCTCTCAAACACATCTCCAATCTCCTCAACTTGTGCTAAAACGCCGATGCCGGGTCCAAATTCTTCCTTTTCTTCAACGAATGCAAACCAAACCCGGTAAACCGTGTCTTGAGTTAAATAAACACTTTGTACAACAACAACATCCAAGCCTTAGTCCCAAAAGATATTGGGATCAGCTAACATGAATCAATACATTATATCACCACCAAAAGAAAAAAAATAAAGATAAAAAGGATAAGCTATTATAAAAAAGATAATGTAAAAAGAGATGAATATACCTAAAAATGATAAAATAAAAATATTAAAAATAATCTTTATATATAAGGATAAAAAACAAGCAATAAAAAAAATTAAAAAAAAAAGAATAGAAAAAAAGAAAAACAAAAAAAAAGAGGAAAAAAAAGAGAAAAAGTAGAGAGGGGAAAAGATAATATGAGATCACTCCGGTCTACACACAAATACCCGCCCCTCACTTTGCTCTCTCCAAAACCATACTCTCATCCAACCCAAGAAGAAGCATATCACTTCGGACTCCCTAACCCATGTCTGCTTGGACCTTCTCCCCCCTCTCTTCCCTGCCTCTTCTCCACACATCTCAACTCGTCTGACTGGTGCATCTTCCGGTCTTCTATACACATGACCAAACCATGCATCATAGGCGCGACTCCCGCATCTTGTCTTCAATAGGTACTACTCCTACCCTTTGTCTTATTGTCTCATTCCTCATGTGGTCCTTCCTATTATGCCACACATCCAACGTAGCATGCGCATCTCTGCCACTCATCTTTTGAATATGACATTGTTTTACCGTCCAACACTCTACACTACAGTAATGCAGACTTAATTGTTGTCCTGTAATGGGGAGATATTCTGGTTACCTGAAGAAGATGGCAGATTCACATTGAAGTCAGCTTATCACATGACCAGATATGAGCTCCCTAGCTCTTTCTCTTTCTCGCATGCGTGGCATCCAAAACAAATCATGAAGATCAAGCTCTTACAATGGAAAATTCTACAGAACATCATCCCAACCACATATAATATTCTTAAATTTCAGGTTGTCCTAAATCCATCAGTCCGTCCTCTTTGCAGAAAGCAAGAAGATTCTATGGATCATTTATTTTTCAGATGTGAAGTTGTAAGGCCTATTTTGAGATATTTTATGGGTATTCTGGAGGTTCCATGTTCCTCATCTGTAAGCACTATTCGACAGGTCTTCTTGACTTGGTGGCTCAAAGCAGGCAAAAAGAAATTAACTGATATCTTCAAACACAACCTGCCTGACATCATTTGCTGGCATGTTTGGAAGACTTATGCAAAACAAATTTGGGGTGAAGGGGGTTCAGTTCCTAATTATGAGCAAATCATACTTCAGATTAAGTCATATACTCAAGCTTGGTCTGCTAGTTTATCTAACCTCAGGTTACACTCGGTGGAGGATATCCTTAGAGAGGAAAATCTGGTCTCAATGAACTTCAGGCTTCATAATTTCAGGTTTCAATTGATTAAGTGGCATAAACCTAAATAGAAATATAAGCTTAATACAGATGCTGCATACCTTTCCCAATGATAGGAACCTGGTATAATCTGAGCGTAAACAGTAAACCAGCAAACACAGATCTGATAGAATGATAAGGAAAGAGTGTTTATTGATGGAAGGAGATAAACCGTAGGCTACAGGGACTTCTTAGGCAACCGGGACTCTCAAGGCAACAAGGCAACAACTCAGAATCAAAATAACAGTCTCCTACAACTGTTACTAATCCATCTATTTATAGCCAATATCCACATAAGGATATGCCAACTATTACTAATAACCCCTTCCCTTCTAAATATACTACTACAAGTACCTTTACTACTACTATTATTATTAGTATTATTATTATTTCTTATTAATAGCCTACTAAGCTAGATTCCTATCATTACTCCCCCCTGAACAACCACCTTGTCCTCAAGGTGGGTGATAAGAATCAGCCATGATCTTCCACTTCCGCTTCATTCTTGCACCTCTCCCTTCCCAGTACTTTACTGATTTTTGGGCTTTTAGCTTCTGTGCATGGATCTTCATCATTGCTTCCTTAACCTCTGGACTCCCACATAGGGCATCAACATCTTCAGCTATGTCATTCTGCTCAGCCCATTTTTCCATTGCTGGTTGGTTTGGTTCCGTAACTACTAATAGAATTTTATCCAATCTACCTCCCAGGTCTGCCTCCATAACTACAATGATGCTGTCCAGTAAAAGAATGTCATCTTCTGCCGCATTTTGGGAAGGATTTGTCTTGTACAACTTCAACAGCCCACATAAATTGTGCATAACAGTGCTGCTATGTGAGTTCAGATTCTCTAACCGCCAAAGTCCCAAATCTGAGAAGTTTTCTTCTTTCCTTTCCCTTATAGGCTGAAACCCCAACGATGGAGTTAACAGATAAGCAAAACCAAGTCCAGAACCCTTGCTTTCATAGCATTCAGGAAATGTTAATTCAACTCCCTTTGGTTCCCCAGGCTCTACTGGTCCAGACAAGATACTCTCTGGGCTGCCTTTCATCCCATCTTTTCTTGCAAGAGTGTAAATAAGTTTTATGCAGTTTTTAACTTCATCAATAGTCAAATTCAGACTGTGACTAGAACTGATGTTATCTTTGACACCACCAGTCTTTACTTGAGGCCATTCACCCATCTCCCTGCCAGTATAAGAAGCCTCGAAACCAACACATTCACCTTCAGTCAAAGATCCATCATCACCATTTATAACAGCTTCCTCCATCAAACCTTTCCATGCCTCGTGATCAACATATTTCTTCCAGTAAACCCAAAATGCATACTTCTTCATAACGTTCCCCTCAACTACTTTCTCAGTTTCTTCTGCAGCTTTAGCATCTGTATCTCCAAGCAAAGCAGACTTTAAAAATGAGATGGCATCAGACTCATATTCCAGGGCACTCGAGAGTTGATTCATCACAGAAGATTTCTCCTCCCCTCGTTTCTCATCACCATTGATGAGTTTATTTTCAGAGTCAAGTTCCACCTGACTCACAGACTGCTGCGGGACTGGAACAGACTCCACTCGTGGACTGGGAGAAACGGAAATATGCGAAGAAACCTGCTGTAAGTCCTGCGAACTCAGGGAAACTGCTTGCAACGAGGCTGATGACTTAGGTGAGATTGCTTTCGAAGACCCCCTGCGAACTGGAAGCTGATGCCCGTGGACTCAGAAAACTGTTTCGCATCTGTGAATTGGAGACTTCCGTTTGCAACACAGTATACGAACTGAGAGGAGGGGTTCGCATCTGTGGAGAAGGAGAAACGATAAACGATGCTGGCTGCGATTTCCAAGAAGTTCGCGATTGTAAACTGGTAGAATTCCTTGAAGATCGCGGCTTCTGGTTCTCTGATTTCCGACTGCGTGGTTGGAAACGCCGATTTATGCCCTCCTTCAGAACTTCCCAACTCTTTTCTCTCGTTCGAAATTCCCACCCTTCAAACCAGTACAACGCATCATCCTCTATAGCCTCTGATGCTACTTCAACCTTAAGTTTTTCCGCAGTAGATTTGATACGAAAGTATTCTTCCATCTTCACACTCCAACTGCCTACATCATCCCCATCCCCGTTAAACAACGGTAGTTCAGCCTTTATGAACGCGAGAGAAGGATTTCCAGCAACTGAGAGATGCGAAGTGCGATGTGAAGAGTGCTGTGAGCTGCGAGATGTGAACGATTGATTCCTCTGTCGATGTTGGTTACTGTTCACCTTCGCGATGGACTCCTGCAGTATCGTCGACTTCATCATAACCTTTCCCGTCGATTTCTCCATCTCGGACTTCACCTCCATGTTCGAACGCTTCTCCAGCTTCGAACGTTTCTCCAGATGTCCGTGCGAACCAAAGGTGTCCAGTCCTGATCGTCTTTGTTCTCTGGTCTGCTCAGCGATAATCTTGGTTCGTTCAGATCTCAACATCGCGACAATCAATTGTCCTCTTCCGCGATAGAGATGTGTCGATCGATTAAGACCCCAGGAGCGAGTGCTCTGCTGACGTCGCCCAACGATTTCTGATCCCAGGAGCGGATGCTCTGCAGTAGTCGCACTTCAAGTCTGATTCCCAGGAGCTATTGCTCTGATACCAATGATAGGAACCTGGTATAATCTGAGCGTAAACAGTAAACCAGCAAGCACAGATCTGATAGAATGATAAGGAAAGAGTGTTTATTGATGGAAGGAGATAAACCGTAGGCTACAGGGACTTCTTAGGCAACCGGGACTCTCAAGGCAACAAGGCAACAACTCAGAATCAAAATAACAGTCTCCTACAACTGTTACTAATCCATCTATTTATAGCCAATATCCACATAAGGATATGCCAACTATTACTAATAACCCCTTCCCTTCTAAATATACTACTACAAGTACCTTTACTACTATTATTATTATTATTATTTCTTATTAATAGCCTACTAAGCTAGATTCCTATCACCCAACATGCTGCAGGGGGTGCGATTATGCGAAACCATGAGGGGGAGCTGGTCTTTGCGATCTCCTTTCCAGTAATAGCCTCGTCGAGTGTTGAAGCTGAGATCCTCTCCATTATTTTGGCAACAACGTATGCTATTCAGATCGGATTCTCGGACTTCCTGGTTGAAAGCGATTCCACTGTAGCCTTGAGCTACATCTTGGAAGGAGGACGAGGAAGATGGATGGATGCAATAAAGGAAATGATACTTATCTCTTTCAGGAAATCAATCTCTTTTGGATCGGTTATGCGTGAAGGGAATTGGGCCGCACATCACTTGGCAGCCCAATCTATAACTCAATGGCAATTTTTTCAGCGGGCTTGTGATCTTCCGGGTCCAGTTAAACAGGCTTACTATGCGGATTATTTCGGTCTTTCCAACTTTCGGTATAACTAATTTTCCTTCGTTTTACTTTCTACTCTCTTGTTTTGCTTTTAGAGGGATGCCTCTTTGGAGTGGTTTTGGTCTAGTCCCCCACTTCACTTGTACTATCATCGTCTTTAATAAAACACTGGTAAATGCTCCCCGGCATTTACCCCACTGATTTTGGTGGTTTTCCTTCCGGGGTAAAAAAAAATACCTGATAAGCCCGTATTATGCTAGAAACACACATTAATATCCAAACAAATATACGAGTATCATTTTTTTTCTGATTTGAATAGTTTTGTGTTTCAGTTTCCATATTGAAAAGTCTGTCTCGCTTTGAGTTTTTTCCATACAAGATCATACTGAGTTCTAAAAATAATAGAGTTTTTATATGTGCTGAAATTGGAAATTCCGAAATAATGCAAAGAATGTAATTTACAAGGTGTTTGACAATTTCAGTACTTCCTAAACTTATAACATTTTTTATAATTTACGTTTATTTATGATTTTATCCATTTGTGTGATGGCTTATATTTTAATTATAAATACAGATTCATAAATATCCACATATGTTTAATTTACAACATTTAGAAAATACATCCCGTGCAACGCACGGGTGAGATACTAATAATAAGAATAAGTAAGGTTGAAGTTTAATTTTTTGCTAAATTAGCTGAAGTTAATGCAAAAGACAATTTTAGATATTCTTTTGATGTAATTTTTCTTAATTTGATTAATACAATAGATCTTAAATATAAATTTTACATAATTCATTAAATTTAATCAACTCAGCTATTTCATCGACAATTTCATAAGTTAAAACAAATGATTTATTACATAATGATAATGTAAACAATTATGGTATTTGTATAGAATGTTTTTTTAATCTGGTCGAGCCATGGAGAGTCTTGTTCAACTGGCCGGTACATGTTAATCATTTCTTAGCTATTAATTAGCCATAAAAGGTGGATATATTTAATGCTTCCTAGCTTTTTTTTAGCCATAATATTGTGTGAGTTTATGTGAGTTAAATGTCATGTTATTTATTTCTTTGTTAACCAATGAGAAAGTGACAAATTAGCTATTCATAAAACAATAGATCTGACAAAGACATGCGAGCATGGGCCGCCTATCTGGATGGGCCAATAGGAAATTAGGAAGAAATTAGGAAAGTGTATAATAACCAAGGTTGCAAAAATAGCTATTACCGGCCCCTACTCCATGCATCTGCCATCTGCGATTCGCCAATTAATAACCGCGCCTTCGGATTTGAGAATTAGATTTCAGCATTAAGTAATTAACTAATTAACTAATTCATTATATTTGAAACTTGTTACTTCAATTATGGTTTCTTCGGATTATGTGACTTAAATCTCTTGAAAGGATTGATTGTATTTTTCAAAGAGTATAGATCGAGAAGAAGTGTTTGAGAAAGCCAAACTTGAAGCTCAAAATATTTCCATTGATTTACATGTTGAGCATCAATTTTGTGACACCGTATTTGAATAAATTAAAAAAGAGGTTTTTTTTATGAGAAAGCAGTTGATGAGCCAATGAAGCCTGCGGATGATGTGTTCAGAGGAGCATATTTCTTAGTAGTTGTTGATAATGTTATTTCTTTATTGGAAACTAGATTTAAGCAATTTCAGAAATTTGAAGAAATTTTTGGATTCTTGTATAATGTGAGTAAGCTAAAGACAATAAGGGAGTGTTTGCAATTGCTTCAACTTTAAAAAAGTGATTTTTTTAAGTGATTTTGAGAAAAGTGATTAATAGTAAAAGTTGGTAGTGTTTGAGAAAAAAATGATTCTGAAAAAGTAAAAGTTGGTAGTGTTTGGTAAAATAAGTACTTTTGTGTAATAGAAAAAGTGAGAAGCAGTTTAAAGCACCCTTCTACCTGCTTCCAGCTTTTAGCTTTTAAGTGATTAATTTAATTAAGCAGAAGTTGTCATTTGAAAACACCTTTTTCAGCTTTTTTAAGTCAAAAGCTAAAAAACGCTTTTTTAAGCAATCTCAAACACTCCTTAAGTGATGAAGAGTTGGCTCGTTCTTGTGATACTCTTGAGAGTTTTTTGAAGCACGGGGATGATTGTGATATTGATTCAATTTATTTTCAGAACTTCAACTCTTAAGCAAGTCATTGTCTGAAGATAAAAAGAAAGCCATTGAAGTGATAGAGTACATTAGAGGGATGCATATTCCTTTACCGCATGCTTGGGTTGCTTACAGAATTTTGTTAACTATTCCCATGACAGTTGCATCTGTCCAAAGAAAATTTTCAAAGTTGAAATTGATATAAACTACCTCTCATTCAACAATGTCACAAGAAAGGTTAAGTGTGCTCGCTACGTTATCCATAGAAAAAGGGTGATATCTACTCTTGATTGTAGTGATGCACGTACAAATTTTGCACATCAAAAGGCAAGAAGAATAGATTATTAGGTAGTACTTTTATAATTTAATTTATTTCTTAGAAAAAATTATAATTTCACATACTTTATATCAATTTTAAGTCAAGTGTTACCTTTTAGGATGTTTTCTTTTGGACTGTTTTAAGTCCCAGACCAGATCAGACTTGACTTCCGTAGTTATAAAATACGAGGTCAGATGTTTACCAGACCAGACCAGACCAAACCAGACTAGACTAGACCAGCAAATGTTGTTAAATTTTAGCCCAAACAAATGTTGTTGTTTGGGGGGGGGGGGCTCACAACTTAATTACTTAGCAACAACAAATTAAAGGAGATCATATTAGACATACAAGTGATCTAAATTTTGAAGTAAACTCGACTAAATAGCACATACATATATGACGTTAGATTAGCAACACGTTTATCATTAATTAACTATCATTTGTTAATTAATAAGTCGGTTGTCGTCATTTAATTAGGTAGGAAAGGGGAACAGCATATATGAGTACATACAAGCCGCGCCGGCTGGCTATATAGCTGAGCCGCGTTAGAGCCAGAGAGCGCCGGCGTCCTTGAGCATCTTCTTGAGCGAGCCATTGATATGAAGAGCCATGACGGTGTTGGCGGAACCCGCGAACTTCCCGCCAACGAAGACAGCCGGGACGGCGGGGGTCGCACCCGAAGCGCTCGAGGGCCCGCTCCATTTCGGGGCCGTTAACGCCGTCCTGGTCGAGCTCGTGGACGAAAGGGCTAACCCCTTGCTCGTGGAACAGGCGCGTGATTGCATGGCACAAGCAACATGAACTCTTGGTGAAAATCACCACCGCCTTTTCTGATGCCTCCTTCACTATACTCTCCATAATCTTATGATCACTCCTATTGGGGAATTTATATATTTATAATTAATATAGTTATATCTCTTTTTCGTGATCAATGAATGATTAATTAGGGATGGATTTGTCTTGTTTGTTATGGTGTTTGAGATTTTACGAGGAGGAGATATTTATATGGCCGGAGTTTGAATTGTCTGAGAATATAAGATCTAGCTAGCTAGAAGCGGAATAAGTGAGGTGGTGAAACGGAAAATATTTGTATATTGAAAACAAATCATATCATGTTTTTAAGGTAACGAAAAAATCATAGCAACGATCTCTCTAGGCGAGAGCTATTCTTTCTAGGCAGACGTCTCCCATAAGGTTATAAGTTGTTATTCTCCGCTTTCGTTTTCGAAGAAGTGCGGCTTTCGTCTGCCTTTCGTGAGACTCTTTTTCGGCAGACCGCAACGCTTATATGACAGCCAAAAGTTGTGTACCCCTAACAGTAGGTGGAGTCTCGAAAATGTCATTCATGGTTGAGATCAGAAGATCATGGACGAAGCGTGGGACTATGGGATGGAACAGATCTGGACCAGAGGCAAAGAGTGAAAGATCCTACAATATTGTTGGACCGTGGGACCTCATGAACCGCCGCCACAGAGTGTAGGAGAGTTTAGAGTTTGAAAGCAGTATTTTAATTTTCACTACTAAAAAAAGAGCTTTTAACAATGAAAAATATCGTTGTTATAGGCTCAAAAGTTGGTCGTTAAAACTTTTAACGACCACTTTTTTTTTGTCGTCAAGTGGTTGTTATAGGCTCTTGCATTTATTTTTCATGATCAGACTGTTTATTTTTTCTATTGGTTACTTTTATTGTTGTAAGACTCTTGCATTAGGATTGAGTGATGTGAGGTCTGCTTTAACCGTCGTTGGCTCATTTATGCCCATTATTATAGGATCATCGAGTTATATGGCTTTTTTGAGGTGATTAACTCTAAGTCTGGTTTGAGGTCTGGCGATTTCTTGTGGTCATTTTATCGCTTTACCCCCTATCTGAATACTGTAATTTGAATTCAATTCATCGGTTTTGATGATAAAAAAGTAATGAAAAAATCATCTTAGTAATATACGGAGTATGTAGTTATGTACTTCTTTAATTAGTTAATTATACAAATTAATACGTAGTAAAAGCTAACGCGCGTAAAGACATTCTCGTCATACGTAGGACTAGAATCTCAAGGTCAAGGTCAAATTGTTATTGAGTCAATTCCCTACATAGGACTAAAAAGTGGCAAAATTGCATAAATAGGACTAAATTTTTTAAATTCCCTTAATAGGACTATTTATGTGTGTTTGGACAAATATATCCTTGTAACTTGTGAAATGTTTTAATTAATAATAAAATCATAAAAAAAAATAAAAAATAGAAAACAATACTAAAAATCGTAAACAAATAATAGAAAATTAATAAAAATATTTTTTAAAAAAATCATTTTTTAAAAATAAAAAAAATCGTAAAATTAAAAAAAAAAAAAAACATTACCACCCCAGCACCACCAGCTCCCATCACCGGAGAAAAATATGTCAACATTTTAAATAATGCAATAATGATGGCATATTCAATGAAAATGTTGTCATATTGAAGAGTAATTATGCCATCTTTTTGGCATTTTCAGAAAAAGATGGCATTTTTTACCAAAAGTGGAAGAAATTTCACCAATCGGAGGTGGTGGTGCTGGGAGGCGGCGGGAAAGGTTTCCATAATTTATTTCATTTTTTATGGGTTTTTACTATTTTTTATTATTTTTTAAAAAAAAATTAAAAAATAAAAAGTTAAATTTTTTATTTTGTAAATGTTTTATAATTTTTTATGTTTTTTTAAATATTTTTACGTTTTTTTTTATGATTTTATTATGAATTAAAGCATTTCATTATGAATTAATACTCTTAGGGGTATTTAGGGTAGGAAATCAATGTTTAGTCCTATTTAGGGAATTTAAAAAGTAGTAGTCCTATTTATGTTTTTTAGGAGCTCATTAGTCCTATTTAGGACAATTTCGCATTGTTATTTTCATCCTAGCCCGGCATGCCATTGAAATTGACCAGATTTAGTCATTTAATTAATATTACGTAGTACTCCGTATTATTTTATTACAGAGTATTTATTTACATTTAAAAAAGCTAATGTTAATATAAAAAAATTAAATTAGGGAGTACGATATTTTGAAGTTAGTAAAGAATGTTTCCTTTATTAAATTTCTTTTTTGTCTGATTAATTTATAAAATTGATCAAATAGTCACTCCATAAAGCTTGAAGATTGACATATTTTATATGAACATACTGATAATATGAATATAGTGTAATTTTTTTTACTAAAAGTACATTGATAAAAGATTACGGAGTAGAAGTTATAGCTTCCACATAAATATATTAATAAAACTATTAACCGGAGCTTATCTCAAATTGACCAAGAGAGTGAAAAGTGAAAACTAACAATTTTTGTGTGGAATGGGACTGTTGTTTCATGCTAGCTTATTGGGTAGTTGATTTCATAATTGGTAATTGAACCAAAATGTAGAGAAACTAAGAGCTAGACAGATTGCAAAAAAAGAAAAATAATCTAGATACATATTAACAAAAAGTGCATCCACTAATTAGACTTTAATGATTATTAACAAAAAGTAGAGTAGAATCATTCGTATATGATCAAAAACAGAAAATGGGGGAAAGTGATACGATAGGAAAAGGTGCAAATTCTTTGAGATATGGATTAATTGATGCTACGCTATATATTGTCACACGGCCACATATATACATCGTCGGCAACGCATATGAGAATTAATATGAGCGGTTAGATTTGATTTTCTGAAATTGAAAGTATATTATGGGGTGTTTGGATCTGATTCTTAAAAATGCTTCTGCTCCCTAGAAGTGAGAGTGTTTGGATGGAAATGCAGAAGTGATTCTGGTGCTCTAATTTACTCTTAGAAACAGTTCTTTTTAGAAGCTGAGGGAGACCAGCTTCTGAAAACTTATTTTGATTCTGCTTATGCTTAAAAAAAAGTAGAAGCAGAATCAGTTCCGAACACCCCTAAGTGAAATTGAAATATGCATTAATTGAATTTGAAATGTGCAACATAAAAGATACGTTATAGTCACATAAAAGATGATAAAGTTTTAAGGGATGAAGAGAGTACTATACATATGAAACCAAATTAAATTAAACATAATTGGACCTAATAATTTTCACTTATAATCCCAACCTTGTAACCAAATTTGAATACAAATGATTTTAATTTGATACAATTTCTTTTAAATCGAATAAACATAAACCAAACTCCAAAATTGATGAGACCGAACTGTAAACTGATTTGCCTACCTCCAAGAGTTTCATAATATTTTCATCTTAGTAAACCAGTTTTGCGAAACTTCTCTGTTAGAATATTTGCATCTTAGTTGTGAAAATAATCACTAACTAAGGGCAATCTTAATACTACCTCAATTCTCTTTTAATTGCAATATGGGACTTTTTGCACTTTTCACATATTCTACTTTGACTATATTTTATTAATTAATGTAATATAAATAAAAATTTAAAAAAATATTTTTAAATTCTTCTCATTCTAAATATGAAAATATGAATTTTTTAATTTTTTCACTAATAAGGAATGAAAGATATTAATGGTCAAACTTGTGCGTTGACAAGCGTGAAATGTTGACTGTGAAGTACTCCCCCTGTCTCCTTTTAAATGTCCCGTTTTAACATGTTGGGATGTCCCTATTTAATTGTCTCATACCTTATTTGGTAAAATTTGTGTGGCTCAAAATCATTCTTACTTTATTCCTACTTTATCAATTAATATCAACCACACAAACTCACTTTTCTTAAAACTCGTGTCACCCTCTTCTGAGACATTTAAAAGGGGCGGATCGGAGGGAGTATGTCTTGATATGTTTACGGACGCCTTAAATTTATCATGATAGAATCAATGATATGTACTGTGTCACTTGTACGCAATGAAACTTGATTAAGATGCTTATTGGAAGTGGAAGTTAAAGACTAATAGATTCATACATACGTGGAAAAACAAACCACATGGCGTGTTAATGCCACAAGGCCATTGTTGAAGCATTAAACTGATGATTGTGCATATAGGTTCTTGCGGAAGAATATAAATGGGGAGGATCATTGGGCATAAAAAGTTTTGGAGGGTGTGGCTCACTTATATGTGGATTGAAAAGCTTGGACGGTATTTATGCATGCATGATTCTATTGTCAGAAGAATAATAAGCTAGGGAGATGGAAAGGGAAGAAATGCTTTAAATCTTTTTAGGGAAGAAATATTCTCAAATAAACTAGGGAAAGACATCCATATTAATAGGGAAAAATTGAAATTAATAATCCCAACTATTGACAGTCCGCTGATAATAATCTCAACTATTGATTATTTTTGTATAATCCCAACTATATGGACAATCTGCCAATAATGGTCCATGACCAAATATTACACCCTCAAAAAGTGAATTTTAAATAGAAATCAAGTTTAAAAATCAAAAGTTGGGATTACTTATAGGGATTACTTGTTATATCTCTCCTCACCCACTTTAGAAACTATAAGAATTTATTTAAAGGGACCATTATTGGCGGAAGGTCCCTAAAGTTGGGATTATTCTGAAATAATCGATAGTTGAGATTATTATAAGCGGACCGACCATAGTTGGGATTATTACTATCAATTTTTCCTATTAATAGTCTAGTAATATTAAAAGAGACAATACTTACTCATCATATTGAGAAAATAAAAACGTTATTGTCTTATTGTAGAATATTTACTTCTATTCTATTTAGATTAATTTCTTTACTTCATTTCACATTGGTTTACTCCTCAGTCCTCACGTCCCCTATCTTTGTCTAATTTCCATTCATATACGAAGTATATGTTACGTTATACGGAGTATATATTAAATTTGTCGCATATCATATTTGGTAATATTTGGATGATTGCGAGTCATTCTTTATTCACATTTGATCAACTCAGTACCAACAAGGACTTTTAAATTTGTCGCATATCATATTTGGCCGCATTTTACAACTTCACTTTTATTAATAACCACACGACTATTTTATGTCACAATCTTAGGTGGGCGGAGTAGTATTATACTCACGCTATTCAATAAAATCATGTCAAATTTACTCATTCAAGTGTCCCAAAAAAATATTTCAATCCATATCAAGAGATAAATGATCTATGTCCGCAGTTACTATGATTCAAGTCCAGAGTTGAATTTAATTTCAAAAATACCCAGGTATATAGTGAAAAAAAATACCCAGGTACATGCAACGACAACGATATAATTTGTCCTTGCATGTACGCACATTCATTTGGGTGTGGTTTTTTTAGAAAACATATTAGTCCGTTTGGTTTCTTCCCACAGAACTCAGGTATTATCTTGTCGGACCAAACCTAAACCATCGAACAGCTGCTGTGCTCTAATGGAACCGAAGTGTCACGGCCAGTCGCAACAGCACCCAAAGAAAGGCAAAAGGAGCCATCTTCAAACCCAAATCCCCAACGCTTCAGCTCAATCATCATCCAACCCGAAATCAATTCTTGCTTTTCCTCCACTTCCCCCAGAGATTCTTTCAGAAATCTTCTCAAGACTGCCTGTAAAGCCCCTGTTCAAACTCAGATGCGTATCGAAAGCATGGCGCGATATAATTTCCAGCTCCGAGTTTGTGAAAGTTCATCTCAAGATCTCGACTTTAAGAAAGGATTACGCTAACCACAAAATTCTGAGCAGCTTTGCCGGAACTCAATTTTCTCTAAAGCAATGCTCCCTTCGATCTGTAATTTCAGATCCGGTGACAGAGGCATTCGAGGTCGATTATCCCATGAAATTCCCACATAGCTCAGTTTGGATAATTGGTTCTTGCAACGGACTGGTCTGCATTGCCATTGAAGAGAAAGATTTGATTATTTGGAACCCGACTACCGGGAAATTCAAGAAATTGCCGGATTCGGGGTTTGAATTGAAACCCGGGTTCTATTTCTTGTACGGGTTCGGGCACGACGAGTCGAGTGATGATTACAAGGTGGTTGGGATTTTCTGTATCTTTCATGGAACTAATTCATGTGAGACTGAGGTGATGTTGTATAGTTTGAGAAGTGATTCTTGGAGGAGAATTGGGGATTTTAAGGGTGGGGTTTTATTGAACGATGCTGGCAAGTATGTTAAGGGGAAGATCCATTGGGCCGCCCGTTCGTCTTCTGGTCTTACTAGTAGCTGGGAAATTGTTTCTCTGGACTTATCCAAGGAAGTCTATGGAAAAGTGAGTCATCCAGATTATGGGGAAGGTTCATATGATTTGACTTTGGGAGTTGTTTGTGGCGATCTCTGTGTGCTTTGTCAGTATGAGAATGCTCACATGGATTTGTGGGTGATGAAGGAATATGGAGTGGTTGAGTCTTGGACTAAGATGGTCACTATTCCACGTTTGGATGAACCAAAGGATAAATCTTTTTGTTCTTCATTGTGCATAGCTGACAGTGGTGATGTTGTACTATTGTGTGGATCTGCCATTGTTGTTTATGATCCAAAAACTAAAGCACTTCGCTATCCTGAGATTGCCAACTTTGGTGATATACTTGAAGCAGAAACCTATGTAGAAAGCTTGGTTTCTCCGGTTTCTGACCGGGAAACCCAGCAATAAAGAGAGCAATGCCCTAATCAAAGGTGACAATATATAATTTGTGTTTCTTCCATTTAATATATAGGACCTGTTCACTTACTTTATTTTACTGGTCATATGTGTTTAATTCTGATATGATTTAGACGGGTATGTCTAAGTACGTTCTCAACTAGCGTAGTTTAGTTTGATACTATGTATGATATTGTGTATATTTATTACTCCATATTATCTAAGTAAATCTTAGTCTGAATATGTGTTGATCTAGTTAGGTGTGGTCTCGTCTGTTTGTCTAGTCTGATATGGTGTGGCCCAAGACTGAGATAAGTTCATGTGAACTGTTCCTAAATACTCCTAATCTCTTGATGCCTTATTTATGGTTTATTAGTTTGTATAGATGACACTACCTAATGGGACACGACTTAGTTTTGTATTGCTTATTACGGAGTAGTTTTTATAGTTATGATTTTTACTTTTTGCATTAGTCTTTGTTTGGTCAGCACATTTTTATGTGTGGGTAGTGATATGTATAACTTGCAGAAAATGAATTGAGTAAAACACTTGATGATTACACTGTAAACTTAGTTGCTTGTACTTTATGCAGGCTAGAGGTTACTCTCTATTTCTACATGCTTTCTATGTTTGATGGAAAGATGGAAGTCCCACTAATATTAATTACTCCTATATGTTATCAGAAATAGTTTTTAGGGGTTTTCCCAAATTATCATGAAAATGATACTCAACCTCGAGTCTAATTAAACGGTCACTTTTAGCACTACCGCAGCCAAAGATGGTCACAATGCATTAAGGATGTCATATTTTTTCCATAACTTTTATTTTGGTAATATATTTTGGAATATATGTATTTGAAGCAGTTGGTGTTTGAATCCAAGAACCTTGCTTCAGGCCTTCAGTAGTGTGATTAACTGATTATTAAGTACCAACTACCAATAGAATCGAGGCATTGTAAAGCTATCAACTCATGCCAATCCTTATTCAGTTATTCTTTTATCATTTTTTTGCAAAATTTCAGGGACTTTAATCTACGTGATTTATGGTTAATTTTAATTTACTACATGGAATGGGTTGATGTTTTCTGTTGTCACATTTGATACACTATTGGTTTCTTGGCTATCCAGAAAAATTAATTCATTTCATATTTATTGAAGGTCTGGCTGGTTCTAAGGATGGATTTCGCTATCCGAAGTGCAGCAGAAAGAGGCTACAATTTCCGAGTCCATTGCGGGTCTTCTCATCACCCTCCGTCTTTGTATGTGTGTTTGTAAAGAATAAAAAGAATGAAAAATCATTAAGTAAAAAACCTATTAATGTATTTGGGGATAATGTAGGATATCTAGATATGCCACTGAATGATGTAGGCAGCCTTGGCACTTCCTAACTGTATTAGTGTACGATGTTCTTCCTCTCTTATGAAGGATGGATGCTTTGTGAATTGAACTGGTGGTGTCCTTGTGAGATGATTTTTAACAGAACATATCTTAAACTGACTTTTTAGTCTAATTTGGCAAAGTTTTACTAAAACAAAAACTGGTCTAATTTTAGTCTACAGACTGGTCTAACAAAGCCCGTAACTCTATTATATGGTGAACTCTATGATTAATTTAATATTTTTTTGATTATCATTCTCATGGTTTGTCAACTCTGTTATTATGTGCTTATTTTCATAGTTTGTGTAAGGGTAATGGTGTGTAGGTCACTTGGTCATGGCTTGATATGGATTGTACAAATTTCTTGCTCACATTGGCTTCACCAATAGCAAAGGCACTCAGTGCCAACACTGTATTTAAAAACATTTAATACAATTTTGTTTGTGTGTACTATTTAAAAACACTGTATTTAAAAACATTTACTACAATCGCCAAACAGTGTGTGTAAACTGTGTTTAATACAACCTTCAATTTCTTTATTAACAGTAACACTTGTTAATTGTTATACTGCAAAAACACGTATGAAATAATTAAAACTTGTCAATTAGACAGATGAACACTTCTCAGATTATATGAGTTCAATTGTATTTGCTCTGTGTTAAATAGACATATATACATTTTTCAGATTATATAAGTTCAATTGAGTGTTTATTGAATTTAAGGTGATAATTGTGTGGAGAGGAACTTATCTGACATTTTTTCTTCTTTTCTTTTGATCTAAAGATGTTTTTATTTGGATATGTTTAAGTCTAGTCTGGTCTCGTTTAATTAAAAAATGGTTTGGTTTCAGTCCCAAACTAGAACAATTCACACAATACTTAAACGGATGAAACCACACCATTTTTTTTATTGAACGAGACCAGGTTAGACTTAAACATATCAAATCAGACCAGACTAGACTTGAACATATCAAACCAAACTTCGATATTTATATAATATACATAAACTAGATGTCTACCAGACCATTTCAGACCAAATCAAACAAGATCAGACTTAAACAACCAAATCATATCAGGTAATATTTAAATTCATGACTATGTATAAATAAGTACTATGTGCTATAGTATGGGTTAAATTTCTGTTAGGGAAAAGTGGAAAACTATCAAATAAGTCCTCGTACTATACTTTATAGTATGCCTTCTTTAATTAATACGCAATATTTATATATATAAGACGATACTTAGGTCAGTCCGGACTGACAAGAACTGCCGTCCGGTCAAGCCTGTCTGAGAGTCTTTCGAGTCAAATTTTTTGATGAAAGTTTGTGAGCATGTTATTCATGAAGTTTAGAACATTCACACATACTTTCAGCTTAAAATTCAATTGGGAAGTCAATTAAATAATTTTATTAAAAACACTTCATTTTTTATGCATATTTTGGTGCAATTTCAATAATTTATTTAACTGACTTCCCAATTGAATTTGGATCTGAAATTTTGTGGAGATAATTAAAACTTCATTATCAATATTCACACAAACCTTCAGATTATAATTCAATCATTAAGTCAGTTAAATAAATTTTTGCAAAGCACTATGTTTTTATGCATATATTTGCACAGTGCGTTTCAATGATTTATTTAAGAAATAATTACATAAATATGACCAAAATAAAGATGGTTTACAAAAATATGATTCATTACTAGAGTAGTAATGAAATCATAGTAATTTATGTTCAAGTTTTGAACTTTAGTTACCACAGCACTACGTTGTAGTAATGAATAGTCATATTTATGTAAATAAGTTTTATTTTAGTAATATTCTCGTAAAAACCCCTTTATTTAATTGGCTTCTCCGTATAACTTTAAGCTAAAGTATTTTGGAGATAATCTAAACTTCATGATGAACGTTTGCACAAAATTTGAGCTTAAAGTTCAATCTGGAAGTCAGTTAAAAGTTTTGTTTGAATGACAATGTGTTTTTTATGATTTTTTTGCGCAGTCCGTTTCAATGATTTATTTAATTGGCTTTTCAGTTGAATTTTAAGCTAAAACTTTTTGGAAACAATAAAATCTTTATGAAGAATAATCTCACAAAATATCTTCAAAAACTTTCACCATGAAGCTCCTCAAATTGCGTCGTCCGGATGGCGGTTCCGGTCAGTTCGGACGAACAGGAACATTAGTCATACATATAGACAGCGGTCCTGGTGCGGAGTGCGGACCATCTGAGGAGATCAATTCTCTATGCATATATGTGTTTAGGAAATTTAATAATATTATGTATTTGTGTTTTTGTATACTTTTGTAAACAGATTTAGAAACTGGCCGATAAACATATAAATATAGATAAATATGGTTTTATACAAGTAATGAATTTCATATTATGTTTAGCTTAATTTTGAAATCTAAAAAACATTTTTTAGAGATGAACAATGATGTGAAATACATAAAAATGTTCTGCGATAGAGAACCTATATGTGTATATATTCTTAAGCACATGTGTCACTTTTTTTAAAGAACATATGTGTCACTTATGTATATGGATGGACTCGGGCCGGGTGGCCCAACCCGGAACCGAGCCGGCCCGCCACTGTTCTGGCCTGGCCCGGTGGCCCGGTCAGGGACCGGTCCGGGTTGGCCCGACCCGAGGTGGTTCCGGTCCGGGGCCCTCAAAACGTGAACCGGCCCGGCCAGTTCGGGCCCGGTCCGGGCCATTTTAATTTTTTTTTTGAATTTTGTTTAAGTTTTTGGATTGGGCTGGGTGTTTTGGGCCATTTGAGGTGGTTTGGGGTGGTTTGGTTGTGTGTGTGTGTGGGGGGGGGGGGGGTTAATTAGGAAAAGGCAAAAAAAATACGGAGTATATATATATATATATATATATATATATATATATATATAGATAAGAGATCACATACTAACCATGCTTAAAATACTAACTTACTAACTCAATAATATGCAACACTTTGAACTTCAATATGCAGTACAAATAATGTAAAGATGCACACTGTGAATTTCAATATGCAATAAAAACAATATGCAAAACTTTGAACTTTAATATGCAGTACAAATAATATGCAACACTTTGAACTTCAATATGCAGTACAAATAATGTAAAGATGCACCGTTTTTGATAGTTTGTAGGTTAGCATGGGAGGAATGGTTAGTATGTGATCTCACCCCTATATATATATATATATATATATATATATATATATATATATATAAAGTAATCTTCCGGTCAGGTATACCTGACCAGAGCCGCCGTCCGGCCTCCTCCTTTTGGGGGCCTTCCCGGTGATATTTTTTGCTCAAATTTTTTGTGTATGTTCCTCATCAAGTCTAGTTCATCCATACCAAATTTCAGCAAAAAATTCAATCGGTAAGGTCGTCAAATGATTTTTGCAAGTTAATTGGCCGGACCTGAATATTAGTCTATATATATATATATAGTGCTCTTCTCATCAGGCAGGCCTGACGGGATGCTCCGTCCGGCCGAGCCCATTTGGGCACCTTCACGGTGGAATTTTTTGATGAAATTTTTTGAGCATGTTCCCCATCAAGTCTAGTTTGTCCTTACCAAATTTCAGCTCAAATTTCGGTCAGGAAGGCATTCAAATCATTTTTTGAAGTTGACTGCGTCAAAATATACATATAAAACTGCAGTCAACTTCAAAAAATGATTTGAATGCTTTCCCGATCGAATTTTGAGCTGAAATTTGGTATGAACAAACTAGACTTGATGAGGAACATGCTCAAAAAATTTCATCAAAAAATTCCACCGGGAAGGTGCCCAAACGGGCTCGGCCGGACGGAGCAGCCCGTCAGGCCGGCCAGACATGAACATTCCTCTATATATATATATATATTTGAGGCCCGGCCTGACCCGGACCCGGGGGTAGGCATGGACCCGGTTCGGGCCGCCCGGCCCGGCCCGCTACTGTGCGGGCCCGGAACCGGCCCGGTTCTCGGGTCCGGGTCCGGGTCGGACCTAGGCCCGGTGGGGGGGCGGGTCCAGGCTCGGGCCCTGTATTTGGCGAACCGGCCCGGCCGGGTCGGGCCCGGGTCCGGGCCAAATTAATTTTTTTTTTTTCATTTTTGGGGTTACCCGGGTTGGGCTTGATGGTTAGGAGGGGTTTGGGGGGTGGGGGGGTGAGGAAAGCAAAAAAAAAAATTGACCAAACCGGAGGCCCGCCCGGAGGCCGGTCCCGGGCCTTTCTTCCCAAAAAAAAAGAGCCCGGCCGGGCCCGGCCCGGAACTGGAACCGGCCCGGCCCAGGTCCATGACTACCCGGGGGTTACACGGGCCGGTTCCGGGCCCTCCAATCCAGGACCGGAGGCCCGGCCCGAACCGAGTCCATCCATACTTATGTATAAAAAATATATAACAATTACTTGAAAGAACATATGAGCCACTTATGTATACAAAAATATAACAATCACTCTGATCTCTGATATTCTCTTATATTCTCTGATGACCTGTGTCGTCTGTAATCCCATACCACCACACCTCACACAATTCTTGCCATGTTTGTCCTCCGATGAAGCCTTAGGATGTTTTCTTTTGGACTGTTTTCAGACCCAGTCCAGACCTAAACAGATTAGACCAGACTTAAATGTTGGGGTATCACGTAGGGGGTGATAATCGAGTACTTGAATATCTTAAGGATCGTGTAAGATCACTTTCTGAATTGATATTTCTCCCCTATGTCTGGGTTACAAGAAATTCAATCTAGGATAATCCCTAAGGACACTCTAGAACTTAGGCACAAGAACTCGAGTCAAACTAGAGTCAAACTAGTGAGTATATGGATTGTTATCTTTAATTTGAGTGCCAAAGTGATGAAGATTCGTTGGATATGTTTCCTCTTCCTCCTCTGTACGAAATATGGTGATATATATCCATATTCACCATCCTAGGCAGTTGCAACACGTTTAAGAATAACCGCAACAGTTTTTGGGAAACTGCTGGAAACTGCCTAACCGTTCTAGAACTCGGTCTAGCACCACAGAGCTGGTCTACTGAAAGTTATACCTCGAGTTCTACCTCGAGTTCCACTAACGTAGAGACTTTGGAATTAAACTAGTTCTTATATACAAGTGTGCACTCCACACCTACTAA